TCCTCTCTCTCTCTCTCTCTCTCTCTCTCTCTCTATCTCTATCCTCTCTCTCTCTCTCTCTCTCTCTCTCTCTCTCTGCGTCCGCGGCCAGTACGCGGTCTGTAAGCGGATGGCCTGCCAGCCAAGTGGCATTAACCGCGGAACACCCATCACGCGAGCAAATTTAACCTTGTGCAAAACTGTAATCCACCGCGCAATGTCCTCAGTAAGCTCCACCACTACACACGAGTAAGCTCCACCACTACACGCGACGGCATCCGGATGTCGGTGAGGCGGCGACTTCTCTAAGCGCTGTTCTGCGGCTTTCTCGGCGCACGGGCGATTCTGCGGCTTTCTCGGCGAGTTTCTCCGGGCCGTCCCGCTCCCGTCACCTGTGGTCGGTCCCGGACGTGACCCGCACGACCCCGGTGACGACACAGGGTCAGTGACCGGCCGACGGGCTGGCCTGACGGCCCAGGTCACAAGGTCGCCGTACCCAGGTCCCGAGGTCGCGGCTCTGTGCACACAAACGTGCTGGACGACTGCAGAGGGCCGCGGCTTTGGTGCAGAAGCCGGGCGGCACTCGTTCGACGCTATGGCCGCTTGAGGATCTTCGGAGCATGGGACCTTGCCGGCATGCACCCGAGTCCGCAACAGCGTCCGTACGACACGGCACAGTTAATAATCTAGTCGATATCTGGTGCCAACCAACTTTCGAAGCCTATTTTGTTGTTCATTATCAACTTGAGTGCCTCACCATGTGTTCAAAATCTGGGAGTTAAACGCAAAATTGATATCTCAACCATGCAAAGGATCAGTAAACATCTCACCACTGACGCGTGCGCACTTATACGGCAAGAAAGCAGCAGGGCAGTTCGCCAACCAAATCCATCAAACGGCCTCCGGCGAACATGATATTTTTTGGCGGCCTCTTGGCCAAGGTCTCCCTGTCTTGAAAGATCGGTACCAAGGTCCACTCTGGCTCAGCGAGCAGGTCATCCTGATGGCGAAAAGCTTCGCCGCTGGTGGTATGAAGTCGAAGATTCTGGAGAGCCAGCGTAGAAAGGTGAGACCGTGCAATTCGGAGGGCACTGCCCCAAATCCAGAGGAGGCTGTGCACTGCTCATTTGAGCTTCTCATTTGCCTGGAGCCACCAGGACTGCCTTTACAGGACTTGTGTTCAAGCAGGGGGCACCCGTCATGACCCTACGAAACCTGGACCCGCAAATCTGCAGCGGCAACCATCACGACAAACATCCTCATCGCGAGAATCCGGCTCATCCACCTGAAATACCTCTGGAGTCAGTTTCCTGTCGAGCAGAGTTGCGCCGCGACTTTGAGCGAGAGCGATAGCCAAGACCGGTCGCGGCAGGCTATCGGTCTCAACCTCACTGAGCCAGTGTTCTTCTGCGGTCAGCCACAGGTCGGCGGCTTGAGCGTAAGCAGCCAACCTTCTTTTCTGCCACTGAAGAGCATAACCAAGAAGGTGGTGTACAGGAAAGCACTGCATCCGGAATATTACTTATATATATATATATATATATATATGTGTATGTGTGTTGTGTGTGTGTGTGTGTGTGTGTGTGTGCGTGTGTGTGTGCGTGTGCTAGGCGCGCGTGTGTGTGTGGTGTGTGTGGTGTGTGTGTGTGTGTGTGCCATTGGAGCTTTACGACGCATTCAGCTGCTGATGCTATATGGCGTCGTCTGCCTCTCGCACTGGCAGAAAGGAGCGAGCAACGCGGGGAATCGAACCCCGTACCCCTGATTTCATACACGCGCAGTGGTTAACGCAGACGTGTTAAGCACTACACTACCGACACCCTCATCCTACACTTGCCCACGGTCAAACTGCGCTGTGTCAGGCTAGGTCAGTGCTCGCCCCGACCACTGCTGGGGGGGGGGGGGGGAGGGGGGAGGGGGAGGGAGGGCCCGAGACGGGAAGCGGACCGCAATGTTGCCCCCCGGAGGGACACGTGACCCCACTGAAGGGGCAGCTGGCCAAACAACGGCCCAGGAGAACAGGCGACCTGTTCCTTGCAAGAGTAAATAAGGTAATCTGAGGCTGGTGTACGCCTTCTGCAAACGGTATGTTGCCGTTTGCTTATGGTTTTTGTGAGGCTGAATATCCGGTGGTGTGATGTTTTTGAGGTCGTATCGCGTCGTATGCTTCGCTCCCGCAGCTGATTTGCGACCGGAAATTTCGTTGGAGCGTGTCCGATCGTTAAATACGAATAAAAATGCGAACCGCCGCAATACGAGCCAGACTAACATATAATCCTAAATCACAAGCCAGTTTTCTCATGTCGTCACTTTTGCGGTGTAATTTTCTCGCTACACGGGCACCATCGGGGTCACAGCTAGTTCAAAAAAACGTCAGTAGGCTGATTGGAAACTCAGGAATTTAATGCCTTCTTCTTGTCTGGATCAGTGCTCTTTGTGGCCAGCTAGGTGCAGAGTCACGGTTTCAGAGAAGCATCATGTCAAGAATTCACTTAACATTCATGAAAAACCTGGGAAATTAAAAGAGACTGGCAAATCTGACCGTCGTGGGCGATGCCATTTGATCGCCTTAGTTCTTGCGGAGTACCGAGGTGAAGTGCGGTGAGCTGAGGATTTTGTTAGCCACACATCACTGGTCTGTAGGACAGGTTAGTGTTTTCCCTGCGAGAGGTACTTGGAACGTGGTGTTTCGAATGCTGCACCCGTGCATTTATTCGTTCTAAATCCATAACAAGAAAAAAAACGCTCAAATTCCCAGCGACAGTTTACCTGCATGGTTTACTTCCAGGTCCGGGCCGCCAGCAGGTTGATCAGCAAGACATAGACAAGCATATCCTGGTTCCTGGTCCCGAATGAATGATGCAACACATCATGGAAGACATGGGAAGACCGGCACTGCGTGGTGAGTGGTAACACCTGGACGCCGCGTGATCCATAGATCCTTGGCTCCTTCGACATAATGCACGAGGTGAATGTTTTTCAAACCTTGCCGGAGCTACCACTCCTCTGCAGGCTCAAAGGTCCGACGGAAAATACGAGATTCGCCGCGCGCGGAAACGAAAGCGAGGCAGACTGAGGCGATTTTTGTTCTGGCTGTTTTTGTGGGTGCTTTTGAAAGATGTGCTGCTAAAGCGGTACGCCATGTTGTACTTAACAACAACTGTAAAGGCAAGTACTCGTGCTCGACCCGGGGGTGCGATGCCAGGTTTAATCTTCAGGTTGCAAACTGAGGGTTTTTCCTGACGAAAAAAAAAACCTTCCTGTTGTGTCGCTCACAGAGATTTCAAGCAATATTGTTGACTGATCTTAGCTCATCATTGTGCGTCCAGTTGCATGCTGCACGCCTGTGACCTTTGTGCTAGTTCGTGATCTGACGCAGAATACAGATCAGCAGAACACCTATCAGTGTCTGATATTTGGATGCTGTGATGTGATGTGATGTGCGTTGTGGTGTGGTGTGCTGTTGTAGTGGGGTGTGATGCTATGATGTGACGTGCCCTTACGATGAGGTGTACTGCTGTGATGTGGTATGATGTGATGTGATGTGGTGTGATGTGGTGCAATGTGGTGTGATGTGGTGGGATGTGGTGTGATGTGGTGTGATGCCGGCTATATTGGTCTGTGGCGGCCGATGGAATGTGACTCAGATGGAATCGCGGCCCATCGCTCTTAGTCAACAAAAAAAGGTGGACAATGATACGGGGATTTCCTGCTTCCATGCTGTGGTACCTGATAAAATCGCCCGGCTCGCTTAGGCTGAGGATGCCTGCATCATGCCATGTTATATGCCAGGTAGCCGTGATGTTATGTAAGGCAACCACATAGCCGTCAGCCGGTCATTGTCTGTACGCCGCTGCGGCTATGTGGCGTCGCTTGCCCCCCTCACCCTGGCAGGAACGGCGGGCGCAGGGGGAAATCAAACCGGGTGATTGACGTTTCCCAGACATGCAGCTTGTCCACTGTACTATCAGTACCTCATAGCCGTTCGTGCTCAGTGCGGGGGGTCACTTTATATACTTTC